CTTCAACTCCCACTGAAAGGCAAGTTTGGCAGTTGGTTCCGGATCCAGCATACTAGGGGTCATAGTTAGAATTCATTTCCACATTGGGTTAAAAATCACCATGTGTTTTTTTTTCCTCATCAGTTAAGTCTCTCCCATTCCTGCACCCCCAGGACAAACAACGATTTTTTAAATTTTATATACAAAGCAGAGAATGAACATCTGGAAGATGACATCAACACGACTCTTCAGTTGCAAAAAGGCAAAATTACTCCGTAGTCTAACAAAACAGAATCTGAAAGTCTGGCAATATTTTTCCTTTCATCTTCAATGCCAGACTTGGAATATACCAGAATGAGTTCCTCTATTTTAAATCCATATTTTCAGACTTTTTGTTTACAAACAACACTTGGACTAGACATACAACTTCATTACTTTGTCTTGTTCCGGTTGTGATTCTCAACTAGCGTCAGCGCTGAGTCTTTAACAACAGGGCAGGAGCTGTGTTTTCACTGTCTTCTCCCCCCATCCTCACTGAGCACCCATTCCCTACTGAGCACCCATCATGTGCTGGCCACTGTTCAAGGCACATAGCTTCTCATGAATCTTAACTTCTCACAGTGGGGAGACAGACAAGAAAGAAAAGTATAAATTATAGACTCTGTTGGAAGGTGGTAAATGCCCTAGAGAAAACTGCAAGCAGGGAGGGGGAATGTGGAGTTCTGGGGAAGGCGAGAGGGTTCCAGGCGGTTAGGGCCATTCTCCCTGTGAAGGCAATATTTGAACAAAGATCGAAGGAGAAGGGAGTCACGTGGACATCTGGGGCAAGCCTGTTCCAGGCAGAGGGAACAGCACCTGCGAAGGCTCTGAGGTAGAAGGGTTCCTGATACCACTGAGAAACAGCAAGAAAGTCAGTATGCCTGGGGATGCAGGGAAGTGTGGTAGAGAACGAGGTCCAAGAGGCAGTCGGGGAGGCAAAACAAAGGGGTCCCCGTATTTGTCAAATTAAGAGTAATAGCAGTAATAATCAGGAAGAGAGCTGGAATTTATTGAGCTCTTTGTGCTAAATGCAATTCCAAACAGGTACCATGTATTATCTCCTTATAAATTCAAAGCAACTGGTCGCTCTAATAGGCACAGAGTTGCCTTTATGCTTTAGGACGCGCATGGCAGTAAGTGCAAAACTCTCTATAGGAAGTATTTCCCTTAACAAGCCCTCACCCTACCCCTGCCTTAACATGACTAAAACCTTCGCTAAACTCTGCAATTAATCTCCCCGTGCATCTTAAAAATAAAAACATAGTTTCTTATAAATGTCAAATGTCTTGCTTATTCCCAAGTTGTGGTTTTTTATATGATTTTCAAGTCTGTTCCAGTACCTGAAGGTGAAAGGGTTCAACTTATGAAAAGTTAATAAGTACAGTTTGAGACACTATTCAGAGTTCAAATCCTGCTTTAATAACATCCTTTGATGTGTTTAATGAATCCTTTAGCACAACTTCTTTTTTCCCTGTAATACTGTATATGGTATAACTTCATGTTTCAGAGTGTTAGTTACAAATTACATCTAATAGAGCCAAAAGACATGGTACATATTGTTCTGCTGGCCATGTTCCCTTCTTTCTGCTGCACTTGCCTTTAAAAGGCATCCTGACATATAGAAATAAGCACGCCAAGACAGCTGGGCTTGCTAAACAAAGTTAATTAGTGGAAGTACCAGATGTACCTTTATAAAGAACTTCAGTAGACTCTTTATTACTTAGTTTCCACTAATTAGGACATAATTTGAAAATATCTCCTAATACGAAAAGATTGTTCAGTTCAACTCAAGAAACATTTATTGGTCAGGTGCTATGAAGATAAAGACAATCCAGTGGCTGCCCTCAGGAACTTACAGTCTCCCAGGCTGACCAAATCACAGGCCTTCAGGATGAAGGAAAATCTGGGGTGAGGGCCAGCACTGATGCAGAAGGTGCGAGAACAAACTTGTGACTACTTTTTAAAAAGCCACTCACGCCAAACATCAGACATCAGCTGTCCCCTGCTGAACCACATATAAAGGAGTGATGGCTTAAAAACAGAACTTCCGAAAGTAAAAAGTTAGATTTGGGCAGAATTTTTTAATCCATTTTTCTGTATCTAATTCTACGCTTAGAAGTTTCCTCAGAGATTAACTGCTTATTTTTATTCTTCTAATAATTAAATCAGAAGGAGGAAATTTTTAATATCCATTTCCAAATATTTTGGTGAAGAGAGAATCAGGTATTTTTAGTCAGCACAAATTCCTCACATGAATTAAGGGTATTTTATTCCACAAAACTTATAATCAAGGGAATAAGACGTAAGCCCAAGCCTATGGATTTATACAAATCGAATCAATGCTAATGATCAATTTACATGTGATATTATGTAAAGTCAAAATCATGTGAAACAATCTGTGTAAATATCTAACTTTAGTTAAGTGGATCCAGAGGCGTAAGAAGGAGCTAAAATCAGCCCATATTCTGCTCATCATGCCCTAATGCCTGGGGCCTGGCCGCCTATGAATACAGGAAGAATGGACTTTTTAAAAAAAATAATAAATTGAGCAAAAATACCACATAGGTGGGCGTCCCTGGTGGCGCAGTGGTTGAGAGTCCGCCTGCCGATGCAGGGGACGCAGGTTCGTGCCCCGGTCCGGGAAGATCCTGCATGCCGCGGAGCGGCTGGGCCTGTGAGCCATGGCCACTGAGCCTGCGCGTCCGGAGCCTGTGCTCCGCAACGGGAGAGGCCACAACAGTGAGAGGCCCGCATACTGCAAAAAAAAAAAAACACAAAAAAAACACCACATAGGCAAGTAGCAGCCTTAAAAAGTAGCTAGTATAGCTTCAGTGGTCACCAGACTCTGACTTTAAAATTTTGAATAATTTCATTGACTAGGCTTACAAATATTCAGATTAATGTATCATATTTGCTTCCTGAAACATAACACAATGAATAAAACTCTAATATTAAATTGTCTATGACACAGATAGCAGTAGCACTTTACCATAACCCTAACATTATCAGATGTTTCCACCATCTCAAAGCTGATTTGAATCAGAATTACCTGTGGGAACTTTTTTAAATCGCATGTTCCCAGGCCCCACCCATTGGATGGTGTGATTCACAGTATGGGTCTGGGACTTTACAAAGCTCCTGGAGAGACTGGTGAGCAGGTAGGCTGGGGAGCCACGAAGCAGCTGACTAAGTTGACAAGGACAATGGAGGTAAAATGTAGTAAATGCTGTCTTCTCACCGAAACAAGACTGTTATGCTAAGGCTACCCTCTTACCTTCTAAACATTGAGAGCACTAATATCACTGATGACCACCATCCAACTGTATATCCAGTAGCATATTTCAAAACCTAAAATGGGTTTGCATGCTTAAATTTATGAAAACTTGAAAAATAAGTGACCAAGGGCTAATTAGGAAAATGACAGACGTGAGAAATACTCAAAAAACACTGATTATGCCTCTTCACTCATGAGGTATCAGAACTCGAGTTCGTAGATTTTTTTCAGTCAATGTGCCAAATCTAAGTTTTACTTCTTTTGCGATTGGTTCTTTTAACATCCTAAATATATAGGATGCTTCACCGAAACATGACATCTTCTTCCATCAATCATGTGCAGTAAAGTCTCAAATGTGAAGCTCTAAGAATCTAAGCAAGCACACGTCTTCCCAGAGAACTGCTCTATAAAGTTAACAGCCTGGATGCCATATAACATCTAAAACTTCATTTGGAAAGATGGGTGACAGCTTTAGCCAGATTAGTACAGGGACACATTGTTGGATCTATTCATAGATGTACAGTATTGAAGGTGCCTCTTCAAACAGTGACCTGAGAAACATTTAAGTGCTTAAAACACCCGTGATCAAAATCGTACATTTTAAATAAAAGCATACATATTTATATTTTACGATATTCCTAGCATTCTGCTACAGTGCCAAGATACAGTCCGTCTAAACTTTAGCTTTTTTTTCTTTCCTAACAAATCGGTATGTATGCAAACTTAGGAACCACTACCAACATCTTGAGTATCAATGTTTCAGACTGGGAATACATGGTTCAGTGGGAAAAAAATGCCAGCATTTGGCTTAGTTTTGATTCTTGTCTCATTAGAAAACACGGGGCGGGGGCACGGGGGCAGTCAAAATATTCTGGCTAGATGCACTGCCATTAAGTAACCTCAGTCGTAGAGGGGCAAAAGGGAGGAGGGAAACAAGAACTGAAAAAATCCGCAGAAAGCTGCCCCTTGCGATCCATAAAGAACTAAATTACAACGATTTGCCTACAGCTGGTAAAACGGCTTACTGCTCTCATCTGGTGGCTATGCCGCAGTAAATTCGGTTGTGGGCTAATTAGGTCCAGCTTGAAGCCAAGGACCAGGTGCAGAGAAAGATCCGCCTGGTCGGGAGTCGACTCGCTCCAACACCCAAGAAGGAGCCGAGCCACACGGTTCCAAGTCGGGGCGCAAGCAGCTCACTCGTGACGGGAGGCGCGGTGGGACTGCCGGTTTCCCAGGGGGACCTCAGGGAAACCCTTCCCGACCATCCGTGCAAGCCACGGACTCACACGCTACGATTCCAGCCGCGCAGGGAAGCGAGGCGACCGGGAGGGCCCGGCCGCCCAAATGCCGGGCAGCTCTGTCAAAATGAGGCTTGAGAGGGGCCTCCCCGCATAGATCTCTCCCCTAAGGCTGGGGTCGTCAGCTCGCGACCCTTGGACCATGTCACTTCAGGAAGGAAGTCTGGAAACTAAGTGAGCCGGGCTGCGGAGAGAGAAAGTGGGGAGGCGCCAAGCTGGTCCTCTTGTTTGGGGGCGAAGGAAGGAGTCTGGTGGGGAGCGAACGGAACGCAGTTAACTTATTTTACACTCGAGCCGCCATCGGCCAGAGAGAGCCGGACTCCGCAGGGCGCAGGCTGCGACCCCGACCTCCTCCCGCGCGCGGTCCCCTTCAGGCCCAGTGCACCGCCCGCCGGACGCGCTCCACTCACCCAGCTCCTCCGCCTGCAGCCAGAGCGGCGCGGAGACAGCGAGCAGCAGGGCCAGAAGGCCGCGCCGAGCAGCCCCCGCCTGCACGCAGCCGCCGCGGGCGCCGGCCACCATGACCCCGCCGGGCGCCAGCTTGGCAGGCTCGGCTCCCCCTTGGCCCGCGCAGCGCCGCCGCCGCCGCCGCCGCCGCCCCGGCCGGCCGCCTCCTCCACGGCCGAGCGCGGCGCAGGGACTGGGAATAGCAGCGGCCCGGCACCGAATCTCATTGGGGCCGCCCGGGGCCCAGCCCGGCGGGGGCGTCTCCCGCCCCGCCCAGCCCCGCCCCGCGCGCCGGCCCCCGAGGAGGAAGTCTCTCCCGGGCGGTGGCTGGCAGCGGGGGTGTAGGCGTACCGGGCGTGGCCCGCGCTCCCCTGTAGGTACCCTGCGCTCCCCGCTCACGCTCTCCTTTTCCTCCGCCCCTCCTCTCCCAGTGCACGTGAACCTGGGAGCCTGGAGGACTCCTGGCCTTGAGACCTACCCCCAGCCGCGCTGTGCCCAGGTTGTCCCCGGAGTGCCTGAGAGAGTGGTGGGAGCGCCAGAAAGCCTACTCTCCTCCAGGGCTTTGCCAACCCTACAGGGGTGGGCATACCATTGACAGTAGCACTGGGGGACTCGAAATATTGTCACGGTAGGATGATGGTGGTGACAACATCCAGTTCAAGTTCTTTTTCATTCATTCAAAAGTTACTAGGTTCCAAAAGTGTGCCTCCCGGCCACAGTGCTAAACCCTTGTGACACTTGCAGACATTAAAAATAATAAGTCAAGTATGCAAACGCAAATCGCAGTCGGCGACGAATAGTGCTAGCGGAGCCCATTCAGGAAGATCTAATTAGATGGCGGGTGACGAGACTGCAGGTAGGAATCAGACAGGAAAGGCCTCACTTAAAAAGTGGCATCTAAGCTGAGACTCGGAGAGTGAATGGGACTTGGGAAAGCGGAAGGCGGGGGACAAGAGAACGGACAAGGTGTGCAAAAGAGCTGAGGGAGGAAAGGGCCAGGGTGTGGGGAGTTAGGCGAACAGGTGGGTTCATGGCCGGAGGTGGAAGCCGGAGCGCTGAGCAGGGTCCGGAACATGGAGGGCCTGGAAGGTCGCGTAAAGGATGTTTTTAAACTTTATCCTCGGAGCTAGGAGCAGCCAAGAAGTTGTTCAAACGGAGGAATGACACGATCCGATTATCTGGGGGGGGTGGGGGGGTGGAGAAGGGCTTGGGGGAGGGGAGAATTACAAGGCCATTAGCGAGTAGCTGGATGGGGAAGTGGCAGTGGAAATAAATGAGGACAGATTAGATACATATTTTAAAGACTCTGACGTCTCCAGATCGCTAGTCCTCCGCTCACTGCCATAACCTTCGCGCTACCGTCTGGCGCCCTGCAGTTTTCCTGGGTAACACGCAGCGACAGTTAACACCTGCAGATGCCGAGAAGGGGAAGTGTTAGAGGCGGGAGGAAATAACAGCCCCTCCAAGGGCCAATATTGGCCCGTCACGTGCTCTTTAGATACCCCGATAGACTCTGTTCACACATACATTCCTTTTTTCCTCTGTATTTTTTAACTAAATACAAACGCTGTTGAAACTTCCAATGAGATATCTTTGGGGCTTTGCTTTCTCGAAGGCGGCAGAAGTTAGAGGAAAGAACTCGGGCTTTAGAAATGAGGCTGATCCAACTCTGAATCTAGGATCAACCACTGACTGGGACTGATTCTCTCTGGGACTCTCTTCGTTGGGGAGTATAATACCTAACTTTCCTGGCTGTCACAGAGACAAAATAAAATATGTATAAGAAGTTATAGCATGTAAGAGGTAATCAATAAATAACAGGTTTAGCGTATTTGTATTGAAAGCAAAGGTCACACCCATGAAAATATTAAATATTCTGACACAAAACATAAAAAGATACTTTGACACATTGAATCATTTCCTAACTCCAGCTTGCCCTATTTCTTCTTTTCATTCTTTCTAAGAAGGTGAGTATTGGCAGCTACGGGCCTCTAACAGGTGTGGCTCTGTGAGCAATGAATGAAGAAAGACAATGGGAGCATTGTTCACGGTGAGGAATTCGTAGGGTGGGGCAGGTGAACTCCCGGGGGGACCTTTTCCATCTCAGGTAGTACCTTGATGGGAATCCAGTAGTTTATTCTACACCAGAATCCTGAGCCAGATCAGGAGAGAGATTTAGGATCTGGTAACAATGGGAAAACCAAAAGACCAGGTGGATCCTAGTGCTTCATATGCCATTCCTTCCTTGCAAAATAAAAGAAAATCTCTAGTCAAGAAAAGCATAGTGAAAGAAAAATGTGAAAATACAACAGATTATCAATTATACTTTTGTATATAATACAATAAGTAAGCCTCATTGAATTGATATACTTCAACCACACAGACTTTTGTGTTAGGCATGTGTACCTGTTTTATTCTTGAGTTGATACCATTTTGATCTTTTTTTAAAATAACGCATTGTGGAATCTCAGAAGTTAATGTAAAGTTCTAAGGGAATCTCAGAAGTTAATGTAAAGTTCCAAGATTCCATTAAAAATTATAATTGTTAGAATCCATCTGCAACATCTCACAAACTAAGATTTAAAAACTGCTTATCATATGAAACATCTCTCGGAAGGGGCTCTCACAAGGCTATCTAACCCCAACCCCTACTTACCATTTAGTCTTTCTGTATTTTGCATATCTAACTACAATTTATGCTTACATCTGTAGCCGTTCTGTAAAAATGGAGAACAGCTGGTCAGGGCTGCCTTGTTTTATATATAAAATATGTATTCTGTATTGCTTAGGCAAGACAGAATTTAAACAGAACTGCAAGCCTAGTATTATTCTAAAGTAGTTACAGAGCTTCAGATTGTAGTTCAATTTGACAACCTAATCAATTTTGTCCTTAACATTTGGTTACCCCGATAGTGACTCTATGAAGTAGACCAAATGAGAAACCCTTACAGGCTTCTGCTTCCTCAACACTCTCCCTTTTCTGGTTCAACTCAATAAACATATTTAAAACATTTTCTATATGTGAGACAATGTGATGGTGATACAATGAAAACAAATACAGGTACCTCTCTCCCTCATTCATGATCTAATGATAGGAATTTAAGAAAAGTAATGATATAGGTTGACAAGTACAATAAATGCAAGAGGCTCAGGGTGTTATAGAATCACAGAGGAGAGGTACATAAATGGATTTCAAAAGCCTGGGAGGGCGTGGGAGGGGTGAAGATGGGAAATAGAAGAAAAATGTTTGTCAGATGAGAAGAACTTGTGAGAAAGCAGAGTAGAGATGACAGTTGCTTATAGGAATCAAGCCTAATTCATCGGGGCTGGAACAGTGGGATTGAGACAGGAGGGAGAGCCTGAAGGTGGGGTAGGAGGCAGGATCTGAGGGCTCTAAGGGCAACGGGAAGCAGGGCAACTGGCAGAACTTGCTCAGATTTGCATTTTTGAAAGACCATACTAGCTGCAGGGTGGGGAATGGATTGGAAAGGGAGGCAGGGAGACCAATTAGGAGTTTGTGGCAATACTCCAGACTAGAGATGACGACACCTCACCTCCTGTGCTCAAAGGGGGTGTCCCCCGGACCACCAGCACCTGCAACACTTGGGAGCTTTCTAGAAAGGTGGACTCCTGTCCCCACTCCCACCAGGAACTCTGAACCAGAATCTGCATTTTAATAATATCCCCAGGTCAGGATAAAGCCATGGGCAAATCTGAGCAATAAAGGATAAAACACAAGACACATATTGAGTCTTAGAATGTAAACAGTGAGAAAGAAGAAAGATTAAATTTTGAATGCAGTGGCCAAAATAATTTGTATCACCCACATTTTTTCCTCATCTGTAACTCCCCATTGATTTTTTTATTGTTTAATTTATTTATTTTATTTATTTATTTTGGCTGCATTAGGTCTTCGTTGCTGGGCACAGGCTTTCTCTAGTTGTGGCAAGCGGAGGCTACTCTGTTGCGGTGCGCAGGCTTCTCATTGCAGTGGCTTCTCTTGTTGCGGAGCACGGGCTCTAGGTGCGTGGACTTCAGTAGCTGTGGCACGCGGGCTTGGTATTTGTGGCTCGTGGGCTCTAGAGCACAGGCTCAGTAGTTGTGGCTCACGGGCTTAGTTGCTCCGTGGCATGTGGGATCTTCCCAGACCAGGGCTCGAACCCATGTTCCCTGCATTAGCAGGCGGATTCTTAACCACTGTGCCACGAGGGAAGTCCCTCCTTATTGACTTTTCAAAAACTTTTGTTGCCGATGTTCACTAGGTAGCTGTGTCATCTAAGATCCAGCAAGAATTCTTAAATGCTGTAGCTCACGGTGGCCAAGTCTCACCTTCTGGTCCTCTCTTTTGTGGGCCCAGAAACTTGATTTCTGTCAGTGTGCTTGACCTTGGGGATACTGCTCCATGATTAACTTAGTCACAGAAGTATACAAACCAGCATCAGTGCCAATTTATTAATGAACAGTGAGAACTATAAAATGGTGAGGGACATTCTCTTCAGCCTGAAAACAACTTTGGAAGCTAGACCCCATCAGAGGTTGTTAGGTGAACATAAAAGAAAAGCAAGGCTGATTATTTGAGGGGTTCTAAGGTTTGAAGGCAACACCATAAGAATACTTATCCTTCGCACCTCTCACCTCTATTAAAGTAAAAACTTATTCTGACACTTATTAAAACTGTAAGGAATACTTTGTTCAGGGCTATCCCAGTAGGGGTTAAGACTATGCCAATAAAGGGAGAGATCAGGTTTACCTCTGAATATGGCAAAGACAGCTGGGGATTTCCAGCCAGGGAGCAGAGTGACAGGGGAGTGGATGGGACACGAGTAAGAGGAGACATGAAGGGTAGGAAGATTCTTGTTAAACCCACTTAACCTACTTCAGCAGGATCCCTGCTGAAGGCAGGTCAAGGATTTATATATCAACAGTGGGGAATGAGGAACTTGATCAGCTATCAATGGTAATCAGATATCAAGGGTGGGATAGTCTCTCTAAACTGACTTAACAGGAATCTTACTAAAACCTAACTATGCAGGCCAGAGAGGGCCCAAAGATGAGGCCTAATCACAAAGGGGGCTCGGAGGAGCTTGACTTTATTTTGGTCAAGGAGAGTCTTCGTTACACATGTGTGTGGATTTCT